GTCTTATTCACATAAGCGAAACATCTGGAGTAAATGTTTAAAAAATGTCTGTACAAAAGTCATGTGATTCATGATCTTCATGATAGCTTGCCAATCAACAATTAGTTTTCTTTACCCTTCATCTTCTACAAAATCAATGCATACTTTGATAATGGTGTAATGTTATTTTCGTTACCACTTACTGCAATTTCTTATGAATCTTCAAACTTGTGCTGTGCTTTCTTTGTAGACTCCATGCTTTATATGAATTGAAGAAAGCATCAGAAACTCTGGCATCAGTTGTTGAATTTTCCAAAAATGGTGCTGAAAGTGCATGTCATGTGCTTATTTCTGATCTTCTGGATGAATGGGATAAACGAATCCAGATAATGAAGCGGGCTACTGGAGCCTTAGAACCTGTTTTGACCCTTCGCCGCATTGTTTTGGAACAGGCCCATTCTCATCTAAAGGTGAATTACAATAAATATAATGCTCCTTCTTCATACCTATCTGTAGGGCAAGTCATTTTGGGTGTTAAAAAGCACATCAGTTGTTCCTTATAAGTAAATCATTCGTTTTGTTCTTAGAGTCTCAGAAGGATTTTGCTTGTCTGTAGAGAGTGTTTTGCAAGATTTTTGAGGTAGTATCTCAAAACTCCCAACTTCCCTCAAACTCTAAGTGCATGAATTCAGGAGGGCATGTGCATCCTCAGATACCTGCCTTTCGGTTCCGGCAGGAAACCCTATAACTTGCTGATGCTTCAGCCTAACACAGGGATGCCATTCCCCAAGCTTCAAATACATCAATTCAAAATATTTGGTAGCCGATTTTTTAGGATTTATTGTATTTGACAATGATTTACTGTGCTGAAATGAAGTATTTCTCAGCAAAATGCTATAAGAAAGATTTGTTCACCTTGTTGTTGAAGAACATGCTGATTCTTTTATTTTACACTCAAAATAACTCCACCTCAATAGTTTGAGTTAATAACATTGAAAGTCATGTTATGTCAGTGATTATTGGGAGGTAACTCTTTTGCTGCAGAATTGTGATCCAGAATCTGCTGCTTTACTTTCTCATGAAATTGGAAAATGCTGGCTTCGAAGTGCTAAGGCTGCACGCAAGTATGTTTTACTTTTCTAAGTAATTTGAGTCAAATATTTAAATAGTTAATTAGCATTTCATAGTGATATATCGTATTTACCTGAATATAAGAAGATTTTTCCTAAATATTTCACTCGAAAAATGCGGGGTCATCTCACATTTGCAGATTAAGCCTTGCCAGTTAGGGTTTATGTTTTAAAATTGCCTTTTCAAATCATGAAACTTGTAAACATGCATGTAACAGTAAGCTGGGAAGTGTATCTACAAAAAATTATATTCATGGTCATATTCTCAGCATCCACCATGAATCTGCCAGACAATTCAGACCGATATTTGTGAATGGGTTGGTTAAGAGAGAATCTCAAACAAATGGCATTGTATTGTTGTATTGAAATGTAACGTTAAAATGAATGCAGAGATTTTGTTACGTGAGTCTGCAGAATCTCGGTTCGACATCCAGCAAGTGCAAATCTGTGTTTTGAAAGAGAAGTATATCAAAGAAATCACATTGAGAGACGTACAGATTCTACATTCAACCATCAGAAAGGGATAATAAAAAATATTTCTTGTCCGAAAACTTCCCAAACTTGCAAACATGTTATATGTAGAGGTAACATTTGGGTAAATGTGATATTTTTAAAAATAACAATTTATATTTTCTTAATTCTCTTTTGTATTTCATTTCCATTTGTATTTGTGTAGTATTAACATTTATTCAAAAAATTGATGTTATAATGTTTAAATGTTACTTTATTTTTTTATCAGGGAAAATTACTATCAGCAAGCTTTTATCTATATTTTGAATGCTCAAAAATACAAACCACCTGCATTGTTTGTTGAAAAGGCTCGTTTGTACTGGGAAAAGGGAGACAAACAGTCTGCTTTCAGTACTTTAAACAGAGGACTAGAAGAACAATTTCCAGATGAAGCACAGCTTCAGGACATGAGTGATCATAAACGCTTAATTTGTGCTAAAGTAAGTTAATTTATGTAACTTTTCAACTGATCTAACTAATTCACATTTATAAAGGGTAGAATGCACATGCTTTCATTTACATTGAACTATATATTTTATTAACATTCTACTATTATTGATAATAAAATGATAAAGAAGCGTTCCAATTAAATGTGAATTTTTACTAAATAATTAATACTTAAATAATTTTACTAATTTTGTTATTTGGACATTAAGTTTTCTCTTCATCAGGAGTAAACTTACCTATTTTAGATAAACATTGTTCTGATTCTGTAAGTATATTATCAACTAAGCAATAAATTTAGTGTCATTTGTAATGAGTTAAATGCCAGCCTGGTTTTAAAAAGCACATATGGAAGCAGAGTTGCTGTTATATCTATGGCAGGGGAGGGGAAAGAGTGGTTGTGGAGGAAGGAACAACTAGTAGTCTAGTGAAAGAAACTAGTTAAGACAGTCAGTCTACATTGTAAGGACGTTTAGAATGAATGTGAGTTCCAAGAGACTCATTGCAGGGCAAGACTCATTTTTGGCATCCAGGGTGTGTTATAACTAAAGCTTTTTTTATCATTTTGTCTTATTTGTGCCTTATTCTACCCTTGAAGTCGTAGGCTTCCGCGGCCAGAGTCATGTGGGTGATCTGGGCTGTCCGGGTGACGCCGCGTCGAAGGCTGAGTTGCCAACGTTTCGACCATCCTGTCGTGGTCTTCCTCAGGGCTGGTATTATTCTACCCTTTGTCATTATTTTGCTTTTTTTCTCCCACCAATCTTGATCAAGTGGATATATAACATTCAAGCCTGGACAACACTGTTGTATTTTGTCTTTCTGTGGAAAGAGAAGTATTGTTAAAAACCTAAATAGAAAAGGGTACCAGTCGAATTTTTTAAAATTTTTTTATTGATGCTGAAAAACTGATTGCTCATGAGGAATCCCATCCCATTTTGAGTACGGCCTTGGATCCTGTCTGAGGACAACTCTCTGTTTGTGATATACCATTCTCAGTGCTGGCAATTACACAAGTGCAAAGAATGAAAAATATAATTCAGTTTTCAGTATTGCCATTTCAAGATTATAAAGGGAGTTAAGGGAGTTCACAAAATCATTTCACAGAGAGAGCATAGCAAAGAAAACAAAATCGTAGCCATCGTCCTGTATAATCGTGTGGAATTGTGATGGTCAAGAAAATGTAGTTTCCTTACATGTCAGGTGCTAATGTAAATTTTCAAGTTAAAATAAAAAGGTGATTAATTTTAATTATTAATTTTTTCCAATAATTCCAATTAAATGTAATTTTTCATTGTTTACATGTCTTTTTGCACTTCTCCTTTAGTTAGAATAAATGCCTTTTTGTGCCTATTTTAATAAAAATAAATGCCTTTTTGCCTGCCTGCTTTAGGTAAAATAGTGCTTGAACTTCCAGGCTCTAATTATAACATCCTGGAACTTTACAAAATTTTAAATATTTATCAAATTGTATATTAAAATAACCAGAAATAAAATAAAATAATAATTGTAAAACTATTCACATATAAATGTCAATAGATTTTTAAGTTTGCTGCCCTCAGCCAACTGGCTAATAATTTTTATTAGGAGAAAGTCAAGACTTTTATTTGCTTGCCATTGATGGGCTTGAAAACTTCTAATAAAAAGTTTGATATATTTATGCATTTAAAACTTGTTTGTAGAAGAATATTAGAAGTAAAGGTATTTGTGTGATGTTAAATATGACAGTTCTTTCATTCACTACTACTTATAATTTACCCAGATTTCAGATAATTTTGTGTGACAAAATCAAATAAATGATGCTTTTTACAAATAATATTTTGTGATTTTTAGGCACGTTTATTGCTTGCTCAGTACAATGAACAAAGACTTAAAGTCGACTCTGAAGAATCTAAAGAACAATATACTGCTGCAGTGCATGCATGCCAGCAATGGGAGCGGCCTCTGGTAGAATTGGCTCGCTTCTATGATAGGAAATTCCAGAACATGCCAGACTGTGAGAAGGACACAACACGTGGAGCGTAAGTACACTCTTAAAGTATGTCTTGTGTTTATTAATTTATTTAATCATTTTGATACAAGCACTCATCCTTCTAAATTCAATACAGATTTACTGTATTACTGGTAACCCTTACAAGAAGTCAGTGAAAAACTATAAAACAATTACAATTCTGCTAAAATATAAATATGATCAATTGCCTGTTCCTGGAGATTGATTGTACAATTTATCATGGCATATTGTAATTAAGATATTTCAGCATTATTCATTTGCTGGCAGGGAACCTTTCCAAAACCTTTTTCAAGGTGTTGTCATTCTAAAGATCTTTGCAAAGTAGTAGCCACTCATTCACATGTAGTTGTTAAATATTAGCTACAACTTTCTCATCTCTACTAAAGTGTTCCATTATTCTACATGCCATCATCTGGCATTTAAGGATATTGTTCTCAAGATTCAAAGATACAGCATTCCCATGTTTCTTTATGAACATTCTACACTAAGGCTTTTCTTTCTTGCTTCTCTTTCATATGATTCTGTTGCTCATAGGGTTTACAGAGACATCCACTAGGTGTTTTCCTTTATTCTTGTTTCAGTGTCTTTTAAATTTCATTCAATATGTACAAAAAACTCCCATTTATTCTATTTTTCATCTCAAACACTTCAGAGGTTGTTTTTTTCTATTTGATGTTTAATTGATACCCAGGATTCATGAAGTTTCAACATAATATATTGTGCCTTTCTTCATTGGAAAAGATCTCCAACGTCAAGATTTGTAGACAGAGTTGAAACTGTATGAGTATGATCTACTACTACAAATGTTAATACACACATCGAAGTATAATCCAAGTGCAAAGGCAGAATATAATAATGTATATTGCAATAATAAACAATATCTCCAATTTTCAAATGATATGTGCTAATCAGTAAATATTAAATGGTCTGAATTGAAAGCAATTTTCATGTGTTCAATGCGTATCAATCAATGTATCCTCAATGTATTACTAAATGGGTACTACCAAGTATTACCTTGTATTTCTTGGTTTCAGAGAAATGCAAATTGTTATGGTTACCTACCTGGGTCGATCTCTTCAGTTTGGTACTAAATATATCTATCAGTCTATGCCAAGAATGCTTACTTTATGGTTGGACTATGGAAATAATGATCCAAATCGTAAAGGATTGCCTCCTGATTTTGAAGCTACTACAAAGAAATTAACTGATCTTATCAGTGAGAACTACACAGTTTATTATTGCCCAATTACTTTATTAATGTAAAATTGTTTTGCTAATTTGAATTTTATTGTGCAGAAACTTACAGTGAAAGTCTCCCACCATACTTGTTCTACACAGCGTTTTCTCAGTTGGTTTCACGTATTTGTCACCAACATAATAGTGTGCTGGAACAATTACGGATTATTATTTTGAAAATATTGATAGAATATCCTCAGCAAGCTTTATGGATGCTTATGGGATCTCTCAAGGTAAATGTTTAAAAATGCAAAACATTTGTTTAAAAATACTCATGCATATACAGAGAAACTGTTTATATGTTTTACATTTACATTTTTCATGTTTATACATTTTTTTTGTTAGTCAAGAAATTCCTATGCTTTCATACTAAATTATTTCAGATATGCATTTTACATTTATGCATTGTTTGTACTTATATGTTCATAATAAAAGTCCCTTTCAGATCGTATAACATCCAAATTATAACAATATAGGTGACCAATAAGGAAGAACGATTACGTTATCGAGAGGAGCCCAAGGAATTTGTGTTGAATTCTATATTCAATTTTTTTTTTAGTTTTCTCACTATGCAAGGTGTTTCAACTGGGCATTTTGGTCAACACTCCCGTTTTGAAATTTTGGACAAAACTACAGGATGAAATGATGGGGATGCTAGTATCATTCAGTGTCGCTATGCACAATGTTCGCCAACATTGCATGATAAAAATTCGATACATTTAGAGGAAATATTGAAATACAAGGGAATCAAATATTTATAATGATTGAGAAATATTTTGAAGTGCAAATTATGGTCGTAAAAGGGGGAAAAGGTTCTGAAAATACATACAAAAAGGTGCAAAAAAGATGCTGCTGAAACAACTGTATCAAGGTTTACACCAGTTATATGAACTCTGCACACACAAATCTTATAGGACCAATTTCTTCTTCTTTGAGCCCCTAAGAGGCAGTTCGTAGTCCTTTATCCACCACTGTAGTAGATAGAAAACTGTTAAACACTTGCCAGTATTGACTGAACTTGTTTTTCCCGCGAATAGCATAGTAGAACATACTTTGCAGGCTTGTCAAACTGCGCCCGTATGAGCACTTGCCCGCATGGGGAACTCTGCACTCTGGAGGGCAGAGGCATCTTCCCCTGACTCCGCTCTCCTTTCACCCTCCAAATCCACAAGTGCTGCCTGTGCTCTTTTAGTATTGAAGGGGACGCAATGGTAAGGGTAAACATTTTCCTGAGGTCACAGACACTGGAATTCTGCTCATGCGATTAAGTGTCCTAATTTGTCCGTCTGGGCAGCACTTTAAATCCAGTGGGAAAGGATTAAACTGTTACAGCATTACTGTTGAAATTTAAATTTGACTTCACAGCTACAGATTGACCATTGTTGCTGGGTTGGTTGCATTGTTGCTGTTGCTGATGGTTTACATAAATTATATTTTAATATTGTTGACTTCTTATTGAATGATATTTTAAAAAGCTGTTCAAGAAGAGAAAAAAATACTTTTTTCTGCCCATTCGTTTAAAAATGCACATAAGAGTGGAGAAAAAGGTACTGAAGCATAAAAAAGAGGAAAAAGGAGGTGAAATGTAGTAATCTAATGAAAAGATGCAACAAGTTGTGTTCATTTTGCTTCATTTCATCTCCACAAATACATATATTAAACTATTTGTATGAAAACAGCTATATTTTTGAAAAGGTGTCGCACCTTAAAATCCTTTTTCTAATAATGACATTAAAGAACGAATATCAACGCTATATTTTTCTATTGGACGTGCCTGAGATTGTCCCATGTGTCTTCTAAGTAACATCAGTAGCAGATCCTGCTACCAAGCCCATGAGTGGAGCATGTAAAAATGAATGTTTTTTAATAAGCAATGTAAAAATGATGATTTTCTATTTTGCTTGTAATATTCTATTTCAGTTAGGCGTTTTTTGCGCATATACATTTTCTCCCTTCAGTCCCCTTAAAAAACATGTAAATGCAGTTTTACTGTAAGCATTAGCGATATGCAAATATTCATTGAGCAAATTAATTTGTAATTTCAGTGTAGTTTTAGAAATGTAGTTATCTGACAAACTGCTGCTTACTTTTATTTTAATAAATAAATAATGTAAATTACAACTTCATATGTTTTTTTTTTCAGTCGTGTTATCATTTGAGAGCCAAACGTTGTCAAGAAATTCTCCAGCATTCACAAATAAGGAAAAAGGAATTGAATCAACTTGTAAATGATTACAACTTACTTACTGATAAACTTATTGAATTAACAAATGCTTCTATTAAGGCAGATAATGTCACCATCAGTTCATTAGCGCCTCAACTGCCAGCCTTGTTAGCTTCTCCCAACTTCAGTGAAGTGGTTGTTCCTGTTGATCGTTACATGAAATTTGTGCTTCCAACTTCTGGAGTTTCAAAAACACACGTTGCATTTCCCCAAAAACTCATATATCTACAAAGTATTAAGGAGAAAGTTTTAGTTCTTCAATCACTTCAAAAACCTCGTAAAATCACTTTTATTGGATCAGATGGAGTTACATATGATGTCATGTGCAAACCCAAGGTAAGTACAAGTGATGTTTCATGGTAATTTTAGAACTCGTTTAACGATGTATGTGTCCAAGCCTTTGCAACCTTCTAATTTCTCTACTTGCTTTGTCATCAGCACAAATAATATTTGAATAGTTTACTTTTGTTTCTTTTAGGATGACTTGCGAAAAGATTTTAGATTAATGGAATTTAATGCTGTTGTGAATCGCTTGTTGCACCGTGACCCCCAGGCACGACAACGGGAACTTCACATAAGAACATACTCTGTTGTGCCTCTAAATGAAGAATGTGGATTGGTAGAGTGGGTATCAAATCTTGTATGTCTCCGTCCTTTACTCCACAAGATGTATCGTCAGATGGGAGTGAGAACAGACTCCAATAAGATGAAGGAAATGTTAGCATGTAAGTTTCCTTCACCAAGTGATTTAGAATTTAGTATTTGGAACTGCAGTGAATGCTTTTGAACCTTGCAGAATGTGAAAGAGTTAATAGTGAGCATTTGGATTTAAATTGGCTTGTGAAAGATCCTTGGCAAATGTTAACCACTTCAATGGTTTCTTGTTGTGCCACATCACACAAACTTTTCATAAATGCAAGATTCAATAATAGTCATCTTTCTGCTGAGAAAGGGCAAATACAGAAACTATCTTGAGAGGATGTGAAACATTGATGTGTCTACTTTTATGCCTTGCAGAATGTGAGTCAAAACTGAGGATTTAGATAAAGATTAGCTGCATGAAAAGGTCCTTGGCATCAAGTGTAAAGCATTTCGGCGGTTTCGTATTATGCCACATCACCCAAACTTATCATAAACATAAGATTAGTAAAAGTAATCCTACTTCCGCATTAGGGCAAAAACAGAAACCATTTGAAAAAATGAAGTCATCTTGAGGGATCTATAAATATATTGACATATCCAGATCTTGGTAATTGTTTCTAATATTTCAACTTATTTTAACATAATATAGTGTGCTGATTTCAAACACATTTTTGCCCACTTATTTTCCATAACTTAAGATATTTTGTAGCAAAATAATTTGGAAATTTTGGAAAAGTAGCTACAAAATATTCTTGAGGAAAAACAACTTTTTGAATGAAGCTAGATGTTACAGTCAACTCTGTTTAGAGTGAACTTCTGGGGACTAACATTTTTGGTTCACCATATCACAGGTTCATTATACCCGAGGGTGTCAAAATTGAATAGAATTTCTCCACAATGATCGATTTATACATGTAGATATACAGAAAATACTTTAACAGCACAAACTGAAAATTTCAATATCTTTATTTGCCCTTTAAAAAATCAATAATCTTCAATTATTTGTTTTGTACATTGTTCGTTACGAATTTTTCTAGATCCTTCTCCAGAGTTCGTGCTCTCGCCATATTTGCCTCGCATTGTCCACTGTCGGGAAGTATCGTAATGCAGACTTGGCACCCTTCAATGCCTCGTGCACTGTAGGAAGCCCCACTCTTTGAAGGCATTTTACTCGCCTAATAACATACGAGATCCTTTCGGAAGCGGCACGGTGGGTATCGGGAGAGTGTGGCTGTCGTGCGCTGCCTGTCGCATATGTAAAATACAACGCGTTTTGACCTGCGGAATATCACGTAACATCAAGCTTGATACTAAACGACACGAGGTCATCAGTAAGGTTCCCATTACGGCTACGTTCACCTCAGGGGAGACTTCGATTTTGACCCATGGCCGCAGCAGTATTTTTCAAGCTGCCTAGTGTTGGAATTTGTGGCACTGAGGCAATATTTTTTTCCCAGGACTTTGTATCTTGTATATAAAAGACGATGTTTGTTTAATCAGTGCTTAGTGCATCGCCGCTCCGTTCATCAGATTGCCATAAAACTTTGTCAACTTATTGCTTGCACTTGTGAGAATATAGGCATATAGTACGATGGGAATATGCATAAGCCTGTGCAAACAGATGCGCGTTGATGATGATTTTATGTAGGTCGAGGGCTCTGATCAGGGCACTTAAGATACGGCACTCTCTGTGCAACCCGCCGCCTATTGAAGTACGATTATTAAAACGCCTTTATTGCATATTCTTCTCCTGCGATGGTGAAATGTCTCACGGGGGAGGCGGAGGACAACAAAGAAGCAGAGAGAAACAAACAGGAGAGAGAGAGGGGGGAGAGGGGGGGATGAGAGAGGGGCGGGAGAAAGGAGAGGGAGAGAGAAAGTGAGGGGAGGGGAGAATAGGTGAGGGAGGGAGGAAGAGAGGGGAGGGTGAGAGAGAGGGGAAGGGAAGAGAGGGAGGGGAGGGAGAGGAGAGGGAGGGGTGAAGGAGAGAGAGGGAGGAGGAAGGAGAGAGAGGGAGGGAGAAAGAGGGAGGAGATGAGGGAAAAGAGGGAAGAGGAAGAGGGAGGGAGAGAGAGAGAGGGAGGGAGGAAAAAAAAAAAAAAAATTATTAATAATTTATATTCGAGAGATAATTGAGTAATCTAATGGGAGGGATTGGAGAAGAGAGGTGGGAGGGAAGAGAGGAGAGAGGGAAAGGGGAGGGAGAGAGGAATGGGAGAGAGGGGGCGGTATAGGGAGAGAGAGAGAGAGGGGGAGGGGAGAGAGGGAGGGGAGAGAGAGAAGGAGGGACGGAGAGGCGAGGGACTGGGTGAGGGAGAGGTGAGGGAGGAGAGAAGAGATGGGGGAGGGGAGAGGGGAGGGAGAGGAGAGGGGGGGAGAATGAGAGAGAGAGGGTAGGGAGAGGAGAGGAGGGAGGAGGAGCAAGAGAGATGGGGAGGAGAGGGAGAGGGAGGGAGAGAGAGGGAGGGAAGAGGGGGGAGAGGGAGGAGAGCAGAGATGAGAGTGGAGGTGAGGGAGAGAAGAGGAGGGAGAAGAGAGAGGAGGGTATGGAGCAGAGGAGAGGAAGAGGAGAGGAGAGAAGAGAGGGTGGGGGAGAAGAGAGGGGAGGGAGAAAGGAAATAAGAACAAAAGGAAAAAAAGAAAAAATAACAAAAAAAGAACATATAGAATTGATAAAAAAAAAAAAGATAGAGAAAGAAAGGAAAAAAAGGTGATGTAGGGGGGAGAGATTAATCGATAGAGGGAAGAAGAGAAAAGAAAATGAGAACATGGAAATTATAATAAAATATTGAAATAAAAAGAAAAAATAGGAATGAAAAGAAAGAAATA